TGAGAGAATCCCTCGCTGTTGGAGTAGCGCTTTACAGGGCTTCCACTCTGGCCCGAGTCCTTGAAGGACTATGTTAACGAAGATCTCTTCCGAGATTGCGCTCCCATGCTTCGTGATCTGGTCACGGATGTTGCGACAGCGGTTAATGTAGGAATTCGCTTTCTCCCCGTGCCCCATCTTTGTCTCCATAAGCTGCTGCAGGAGCCTGCTGGCGGTGACCGAGTCCTTCGGCTGATAAACCTCGACGAGGTGCTTCCAGGCTTCCAAGGCTGGAGCGGTGCTCTCTTTGTAGGAGCGGATGCTAAGTTGTTCCGCAGGCGTCATGTTTCGCAGCAGGACACTGTACGCCATGAGGGACTCACTGTAGTACTGAGCCCTAGCGTCATCGGTGTCTTCCACCGGTTTAGAATAGGAGCCGTCGAAGTAGTGGTAGATCTGCGCTGTTTGTAGGAGGAGCTCAAGCTCAAAACTCCATGTGTAGAAATCCTTGCCGTCGAATGCGGTAGTAGTCTTGATTTTTGAAACGCTGAGAAAGCGTGCTTGCGCAGAGTTAATGACTTCATCACTTGGACGGGGGGCAGTTGTTGTTGATTTGTTTGTGTCGAGGGAGAATGTGTGCGTGGTGGTATTACGACTTTTCGTAGCCGTTTGTCCAGGTTGAGCTGGTTGGGAAGAGGTTCCCGCATCGCCTTTGCGCAAATCTTGGAGTTCTTTCTCCATAGTTGAAAGTCGAGCGAATAACTGCTCGAGTGCGGCAGTGCCGATCGTGGTTGTCGCCTCATTTGTCGCAGCCGGGTTGGTTTGTCCTTCAGCCGTTAGATTTGCTTGGCCTCCGGATCCTCCGGCCATCTTGGTCTTGGAGCGTGTGCCGCTCGCCAGATCTAGGTTCGGCGAATTTCACGGAAGTGAAGTTGCGAAGAATCCCTGAGTAGCTCTCATACCATGTTACAATCCCAAGTGGGACTTAGCGAAGGATCGCTCAGGGTTGATCGCAGAGTAGTATTGCAGCGGAAGTTTTGAATCTCAGGTCAGAGTGAATGTAAATGACTGAGTTGATAAAAGCATGCATACATCGAGTTTATATAAGAATACAGGTGAATACGAAAAGACCTAGACTAGCCATGTACTCTAAGGGGTGCATTCCCTTATTACAGTAAATTCAAACCGTGCGGCGCGGGAATCGTTTTGAACCTGTTCCCGCTCTTTTCACTTCAAATGTTTCTGCTTCCATCGGTCTTGGTCAGTGCCTCAGATATCAGGAAAAAAACCCTGAAATTCCTGATTTTGGCAGCCGATTTTCAAGCTACCGTGAAAAGTCAGAGTTGGGATTTTTGTAGGACTGATCTTTCAGCGTTTTTTTATTGGCCACACTGATATTTCAGGTTTTTTTCCCGTTGTACACTGATGCCACTACGTTGTAACGAAACCGACACTGAATGCGAATCTCACCTGTGACATGTCACCTCGACCGCAATTGCAGGGAATCTCAGATTCCTTGTATGTAGGCACCCCGTGGCGGGACCACCCTTAGAAATGTTGCCTTAGGTTCACGTTGAGAGGTGTTTTTTTGCCGGGGCGCCTTACACCATTGGGCCGTTTCGCTGCAGCATCCAGTGTTGGCGAATCCGAACGTGGCAGACATGTGGTGCTGGCGGGCTGCCAAGGTTCCTGCCCCGTACCCATCATGTGCGATGCGTTAGGTTTGGGCTGTGCTGGCAAGCACCGTGCCATCCTCCACGCCGCCCAGCCCATCCACCGTTTCCGCCATCTAAAAGTAGGACTTTAAAATAGAGTCAGTGTTTTTGCAAAAGGTACACTGATGCGTCAGGCTTTAAAAATTCGCAACACTGACATTTCAGCCTTTTTTTTTTTTGGGACACTGTAAATCAGAGTTAACACGCAGGGGGACCCTGATGGGGTGACGACCCTAAAAGTGAATCTGAGGCCCTGGTCTTGGTCAGACGGTTGCTACGTCGCTTCGACTCTTCTGACTCCTCGACTTCATACTCAATAGAGTCGGCTCCTGCAGCATACAGGAATGCCTTCTCATAAAACTTCATATCGTAACAAACTTTAAATGTTATACAATTCATAATCATCCTATACTGTATAACAATAACTATACAATAAAGCACAATCAGAGCGTGTACTGTTCTATCAACGTCAGCAGCCATCCATGCAGAGTCAGTCATCTCATCAATGCATCCTAACTCTACTTCAGAGCAGCCATCCCAACTAATCCTACAACAAACATCTCCTCAATCGCATCATATGCAGCGATCCATGCTGCTTTCACGTCACCACTCCACATGTCACCCATGGCGTCAGCCATAGTAATCACGAAGGCATCCCTCAGTTTCTAAAAAAGAACATCAGAGAACAGACAACAGTATTAAAGGTCGGGAAAAAAACGACGCCTGGCAACAACAATACAGCACGAGATGTGCAGTACTGCAGGAACCTGATTGCAAATATGAAGACTGTTGGGTACATTACATACCGCAGCATGCTTGAGCTTGACCCCATATCCAATGTGTCTCTGGCCTAGCGTTGCGAGGCTCTTCCTGTACATCTCCACCTGCTTCTCGTTGTCCAGATTCGTAGCAATGTTGACCACCTGCAATCACGAACGTCACAGCAGGCATAAAAAAAAAGGCATTAATTATAATCAGCCGTTTTGTATGAGAATCTCAACTCAATTCTTCGTCCTCTCATCTTCTCTCTCCAGTGCACTTTCACGTTCCTTGAAACAACGCCCCTACCAACACTTCCGTTCCCAGTCACTCACCTTCTTCAGAACAGTGGTGGCGTGTTCCTGAAGCGCCTTGTTGTCTCTCATAGGGCCCGTGTAGTCCTTGGTCATGGATATAAGGGCCTTCGCTTCCGGCACAATGTCGAACAAACTGCCAGTGGAAATCGTCATTTTAAACGGGTCAGTATAAGGTCAGGACCAGAGTCACACAGATCTGAGGAACTTCGAGCACCAGGGGGATTGAAACAGCTGTCAGCGAGTGCTGGAACCGGAACTCCTGGCAAGTTCTGGAAAGGCGCTTACTTGATGAAGAGCGACATGGCGTGGTATGGCACATCGGCCTGAAGCTTCGCCTTGAAGCTGTCTTTAATCAGTTGCACTTGCTCCGTGGGAAGGGCGAACTCAGTAGCAGGGCCGAGCGAACCCATGGTTAAAATTGACGAAGTGGCTCAGTGAGTAAGTGGTTGAGTGAGTATCAGGCGACTAGGAGCTAAAGTTGCGGAATGTAGAATCTGGTCAGCCTCAAGTGTGATGAAACGGCTGAGGGGAGCTAAGGCGATCCCTGGGAATACTGGTTCTGTGAGAGAGAACGGTAACGCTGATCAGTAATGTGACAAGAACTTAAGAGGCCTGATTTGACATATGTGGATCGGTGAGGCCTAAATAAATACCTCGGAGTTTGGTGGTTCCGTGACCTTACGGACCCCGCAAGTGACGCCTTTCATCCAAACGCGCGTCGACAAATACGAGGAGTTTAGCATAGTCATCTAGCCCTTCTAAGACCGAGAGGGCCTTCTGATCAAGAGTCAAAGGTCAACACGCGACCAGCGAAAGGGAGCTTCAACCCATGGTGGTTCCAAGAGTCGCTCCAGATTCACAACCAGACGAAAATCGCAACGAGATTACGGCTAAGGTGGTCGGTGCGATCATAATCCGCCAGATGCGACCAGCAAGCTCACGGTGTGCGAGATAGAGTCGAGCCAGCCATTCAAAACACGCGGGTGGCAATGATGCGCCGTCAGGCCAGCGCTTTGCTTGGGAGAGAAGGAACTTCGGCATTGCGACTGTTCTCTGCGACCCTCTCCCCAGGCAAATAGTGAAGACGTTCTTTGCGCGCGTGGAAGGTCGCCAACAAACAGCCAGCGGCGGGAAAATTCATGGTGGCCCAAGAATCTGCCCTGCTCCGACGTGGATAACCAGCCCGTGCATCGCGACTCCGAAGAAACAACCCTCACGACCAGACCACACCTGTAGCGACTGACGCGTGTCTTGCTCCAGCCTACCTGTGTTAACACCTAGGGAACAGAGACGTCACTATTTCGAGCGGTTCGAACTTGTTTTTTGGAGGGCACAAGCCCGCACAGTTGCTCGAGAAAGGAGGGCACCGACCGAGGCTCGAAACTGTCGAAGGTCATCTGGGAACCCAGACTCCAAAAAGACGAAAAAGAGGCCACTATTTTTATTATTGAGTCAGTTAATTATGTAGCACAACAAAGTTCATTGTACAAGATAAAGAGCGCAATCGACTCTTAATGACACCCTCCTGAACGCGGACACGCTTCTTTTCGCAACTTGAGGAGGTAGGTGACGATTGGAGGCACCATGGGGTAGCGTCGTCTCGGAGGCTCCGTGGGGTGGCGTCTTCACGGATCACGAAAGGTCAACTGACACTTCATTACATACCTCAGGAAGCCCATTAGCGATTGAAAGGCAATGCAGCCTGATATCTTGATATAATCGTGATCTAACTTCAAATATTTAATTGCAAATCCGTTTAATTACATGCCATGAGGAATGCCATCGGTGAGTAGCAGAGCGGCAGAATGCATAACCTAACTTTATATTATTAAGAGGTCATTTGTAGGACATGGCTCGGGGCGGGAAGCCCACCAGCTATTGAAAGGCACAACAAATAGCCTGATCTAGATAGAAAGCCTCATCTAACTTCAGATATTATTGACCTTGTGCTCTCAGTCGTAAACGGGTTTCTCTTGCAGCCCTTCTTTGCTGCTTGTCAGCTGCATTCGATTTGGCAGATTTATTCAGCATGGCTCGAGTGTGGGCCGCTTTTGCCTGCAGAAAACAGCAATGTGGTTTATTTTTTGTTGAAATGCATTCTGTAGATACGAAAATGGAAGAGTAATGGGATGACACACAACGACAGCAGCATGGCACGTTGATTGCAATACAAATCCGAGCACGAAATAAGGGAGGCACGGTAAGCAGCATTGTAACCCCAAACTCAGATTCAACGCAAGCTCACCAGCAACTGATTCCTTCGCATGGTCGAGCTACCACCTGTATTCACCTCCTCGTCCAACGACAGTGGCAGGGTGGCACTTATGGAGACGCCGGGCGGCAAAGGAAGAGGATTGGAGGAGGAAGATGAGGTAGGGCCTTGAGGAGGCTGTGTTTGGGAGAGAGAGGAGGCAACATCGGTTGGGGAGAAGACCATGCTGGTAGAGTCTGAAGATGAAAGAAAAAAATTGAAATGTGGGGGGATAGAGGAGGGCAGTTCCTTGTGTGAGAAAATGACTGGAGATATGGAGGGGAAGGCCTGGAAGGGAAGGCGTGAAGGGGAAGGCGTGAAGGGGAAGGCGTGAGAGGGAAAAGGTAGGAGGGGAAGGGTGGGAGGGAACGGTGAGAGGGGGAATGAAGAATTTTGCAAGCAAGAAAGGTGCTCCACGGTACGTGTTTGAAAGTGGCAACACATGAGAAAAATTATTCTACACTGCTGTGTTGTGCTCCACCCCTGCCACGTGGCATCACATACCTCCTTCCCACGTGGCATCACATGCCCCCTGCCACGTGGCATCACATGCCCCCTGCCACGTGGCATCACATGCCCCCTGCCACGTGGCATCACGTACCTCCTGCCATGTGCAGCGCTCGCATGGCCTCCATGAGATCGTGCACTCCACACCGCCCACGAAACGCATCCAGCTGACCACCACCAGCAGCAGCACCACCACTGCTGGCTGCAGTCCTGTCGCTGCCGCCACCAGTGGTAGCTGTGTTCTTGCCGCTACCGCCCTCATCGGCAGTGCTGCTGCCGCTGCTAGCTTCCGCCGCAGCAAGCCTCCCAATCACCCGCCGCCCACTCACTCCTCTCCCCCCATCCGCACTCCCAGCAACCTCCTCTCCCTCCTCACCTGCACCTGCCATACCCTTCTTCCCACTCTTCCCTCTCAGTCCCCCCTTCACTCCTCCCTTCTGTCCCACCCACTCGTCTCCCCTTCCGATCCCTACAGCCCCTCTCTCCTCAGCCTCCTCCTCCTCGTCCCCCTCCCCGGCCACCACAGCGGCAGCCACAGCAGCGGCAGTGGCAGCGGCAGCAGCATCCGCCTCAAAATCCACATCTACTGGAAAATACTCATCCGCAAGCCTCTTTCCTGGAAACACTGACCCTTGCGTCAAGATCTCTTTATCTCCAACTCCTTGAAACCCCTTCCCCAGCTTCTCCCTCCTCTGCATTTTCCCTCCTTTGTCCCCGTCAACTCCCTCCTCCCCCTCTTCCCCCTCTTCCTCTTCGTCTCTCCAGGGCCCAAAGTGAGAGTGAGAAACGGTGGGCTCCTCTGCCCCCTCTCCACTCCCCCCCTCATCGTCACCCATCAGCCCTTGCGGAGCTGAGCTGGCAGCCTCTGACTGGCTCTTGAGATTCGCTGCAACGGCTGAGGGGTGAGCGTCTGCTAGTATCTCCATCTTAAGGGTGGGGAAGCGAGCGATGGAGCCTGGGAGTGCGGGAAGGGAGGGAGAACAAGAAACTGTGTTTGAAGTAAAATCTGCGGCAGTCTAAAGAGTGGGATTGATCGAGCCAGTATCTCCATCTTGAGGGCGGGGAAGCGAGCAATGGAGCCTGGGAGGGAGGGAAGGGAGGGAGAACAAGGAACTGTGTTTGAAGTAAAATCTGCGGCAGTCTAAAGAGTGGGATTGATCGAGCCAGTATCTCCATCTTGAGGGCGGGGAAGCGAGCAATGGAGCCTGGGAGGGAGGGAAGGGAGGGAGAACAAGGAACTGTGTTTGAAGTAAAATCTGCGGCAGTCTAAAGAGTGGGATTGATCGAGCCAGTATCTCCATCTTGAGGGCGGGGAAGCGAGCAATGGAGCCTGGGAGGGAGGGAAGGGAGGGAGAACAAGGAACTGTGTTTGAAGTAAAATCTGCGGCAGTCTAAAGAAATTACCTGAACTTTAGAAATCACCTGAACTTGAGAAATTACCTGAACTTAAGAAATCACCTGAACTTGAGAAAATACCTGAACTTAAGAAATCACCTGAACTTGAGAAATTACCTGAAGCTGACAGCTGGACCCAGAGGGTCTGAAAGAGCCAGTACTCGACAACTGAAAAGCCCTGCTGGAAATCCTGGAAAGGCAACAGGGGGGGGAGGCCAGAGGGGAAGGGGGGTAGTGGAAGAGAGAGGAGAGTTGGTGCGAATAGTGGCAAAGAGTATGGCTGAAGAGCCAGTACTCGACAACAAAAAAGCCTTGCTGGAAATCCTGGGAAAGCAACAGAAGAGGGGGGGACGGGAAGGGGAGGGAGCAGGGGAGAGCGAAGAGAATGCAGAGAGGGGAATTGGTGTGTTTTGCAGAGAATGTGAACTGTTGGCAAAATGGGTGAAGAGGCAGTGCCTGCCTGGAATGACATGGCATGCCCCTTGCTTTAAACCATGGAGCATGAAAGAAGGTAGGGATACAGAGAACGACGGGAGGGGAGGGGGGGTAGGGGAGGGGGGGTAGGGGAGGCGACGGCTTGGTGGTTGGAGAAAATGAGAGCTGGAAAGAGTGGATAACATGCGGTGTTGCACGGTGTGGCATGTCATGATCAGATGTGGTGGTTGATCGTGTGCTGTGTGCCATGTGCTCCATGCCATGCCGCATGCCATGTGCCGCATGCCATGTGCCCCACACCACACCACACCACACCACACCACACCACACCACACCACACCACACCACACCACACCACACCACACCACACCACACCACACCACACCACACCACACCACACCACACCACACCACACCACACCACACCACACCACACCACACCACAGCACACCACAGCACACCACAGCACAGCACAGCACACCACACCACACCACACCACAGCACACCACAGCACACCACAGCACACCACAGCACAGCACAGCACAGCACAGCACAGCACACCACACCACACCACACCACACCACACCACACCACACCACACCACACCACACCACAGCACAGCACACCACAGCACACCACACCACACCACACCACACCACAGCACAGCACACCACACCACACCACACCACACCACACCACACCACACCACACCACACCACACCACACCACACCACACCACACCACACCACACCACACCACACCACACCACACCACACCACACCACACCACACCACAGCACACCACAGCACACCACAGCACACCACAGCACACCACAGCACAGCACAGCACAGCACACCACACCACACCACACCACACCACAGCACACCACAGCACACCACAGCACAGCACAGCACACCACACCACACCACACCACACCACACCACACCACACCACACCACACCACACCACACCACACCACACCACACCACAGCACAGCACAGCACAGCACAGCACAGCACAGCACAGCACAGCACAGCACACCACACCACACCACACCACACCACACCACACCACACCACACCACACCACACCACACCACACCACACCACACCACACCACACCACACCACACCACACCACACCACACCACACCACACCTCCTCCCCTTCCGCCCCCTCCTCCTCCCCTTCCGCCCCCTCCTCCTCCCCTTCCGCCCCCTCCTCCTCCCCTTCCGCCCCCTCCTCCTCCCCTTCCGCCCCCTCCTCCTCCCCTTCCGCCCCCTCCTCCTCCCCTTCCGCCCCCTCCTCCTCCCCTTCCGCCCCCTCCTCCTCCCCTTCCGCCCCCTCCTCCTCCCCTTCCGCCCCCTCCTCCTCCCCTTCCGCCCCCTCCTCCTCCCCTTCCGCCCCCTCCTCCTCCCCTTCCGCCCCCTCCTCCTCCCCTTCCGCCCCCTCCTCCTCCCCTTCCGCCCCCTCCTCCTCCCCTTCCGCCCCCTCCTCCTCCCCTTCCGCCCCCTCCTCCTCCCCTTCCGCCCCCTCCTCCTCCCCTTCCGCCCCCTCCTCCTCCCCTTCCGCCCCCTCCTCCTCCCCTTCCGCCCCCTCCTCCTCCCCTTCCGCCCCCTCCTCCTCCCCTTCCGCCCCCTCCTCCTCCCCTTCCGCCCCCTCCTCCTCCCCTTCCGCCCCCTCCTCCTCCCCTTCCGCCCCCTCCTCCTCCCCTTCCGCCCCCTCCTCCTCCCCTTCCGCCCCTCCTCCTCCCCTTCCGCCCCCTCCTCCTCCCCTTCCGCCCCCTCCTCCTCCCCTTCCGCCCCCTCCTCCTCCCCTTCCGCCCCCTCCTCCTCCCCTTCCGCCCCCTCCTCCTCCCCTTCCGCCCCCTCCTCCTCCCCTTCCGCCCCCTCCTCCTCCCCTTCCGCCCCCTCCTCCTCCCCTTCCGCCCCCTCCTCCTCCCCTTCCGCCCCCTCCTCCTCCACCTCCTCAAACCCACCATCACCACCATCCCCGCCACCATCACCATCATCACCAGCAGCACGAGCAGTGACCCCCAGATTCTCCCGCGCCACGCGTCGGCCATCGCTGCTCTCCACCCTCACGCGCAGGCGGTGCCGGAACTGCTGCTGCTCCGCCTGCTCTGCCTCCCAGTCCGTGTGCTTGTGAGGCAGCACTGCCATGCCATCCTTGTCCTGGCAAAGGAGGGAGGAGGGGAGGAGTGAAGGAGGGAAGGAGGGGAGGAGGGAAGGAGGAAAGGAGGGAAGGAGGGAAGAAGAAGGAGTGAAAGAGGGAAACAGGGGAGGGCTGAGAGTATCAGCAAGCACACACCTCCGGTCAGAGTGTCTCTGGTCAGAGTGCCTCTGGTCAGAGTGCCTCTGGTCAGAGTGCCTCTGGTCAGAGCGCCTCGGCAACTTGGGAGTGTACACTGCATGTTGCACAGCTAACCACTGCATACACATGTACAAGTAGCAGTACTTCTAGATATCCATGTCATTTCCAGTGGTTCATAAAATCCAACACCTGATCTTTTGCTCACTTCACTCTTCCTCCTGAAAGGTGCACCGAACAGAACATGCTACTGGAGGGGCATCTGAGCGCACATGGTCTCACCTGAACGAGCACCTGGCCGAACCTTCATGAAAGAGCATTAGAGCAAACCTCACCTGAAAGGGCACCTGGCCTCACCTGAAAGAGCACCTGGCCTTGCACATCAAGGCGAGGCACAAAGAGCGTCACATAGCCATCGTGAATGGAGACCACCTGGTTGAGTGGGCGTCGGGGCGAGAGAGGCATCGAGGGGGGTCGATAAAATCTCGATGATTTCGTAAACAGGGAGAGGCAGCAAGGATTGCGTGGCAAGGCATGAAGAGCGTGAGATAGCCATCGTGAATGGACACCACCTGAGTGGGTGGGTACGGGTCAAGAGAGGCAGCAGAAGGGGGGAGGGGCAGCGGGGAGCACGTGGCGAAGCATGAAGAGTGTGACATAGCCATCGTGAATGGACACCACTACCTGAGTGGGTGCTGCAGGGCGGGACAGGGGGCGGATGGAGGGGCAAGGGGAGCATGCGGTGGGGGGTGGTGACGGGGTGGGTTGAGGGGAGGTAGGCAGGAGGAAGGGGCGAGAGGTGTGAAGCTGCAAAAATCATGTGTGCGAAAATGGAGGGTTGGGAAGACCGGTCGGCGGTAGCTGCAAACGGCAAGCACTTGTCACTTCAAGAATAGGGCAACAGCGTACCAGCATCAACCTGCCTCATCAAGGCGGTTGAAACTGGCTCTCTAAGCAACGCTCTACCTCGCATTTCACCAGGCCTCTTCTGCTCACTTAAACCCATGGGGATGGTCTCGTTGTCCTAAGAACTACAGGAGATGATGGAAGTAAGGGTTACTGACAGCTCACCTGCCCGCTACTGACAGGTCCAGCAACGGCATACAGCATCAATCAAGGTGGTTGAAACACTTGTCACCTCTATCAGCCTGCCTCCCCTTGCTCACCCCACGCCACCCCACTGCATCAAGGCTGTTCCCTCAGAAGGAGTAGTCAGCAAAATAACCCCCTTCCCCTCTCCCATTCCCACTGCCCTCCCTCAGAAGCAGCAGACAACAGAACAACCCCCTTCCCCTATCCTCTTCCCCCAGCCGTCCCTCCTCCCCTGCTCCCTCGACCTCCCTCTCTGCACAGCATGGCACGCTCCACCAAGCGCTGCTCAGACCTCTCTCGACCTCCACCAAGCGCTGCTCTCACAGATCTGAGATATCTATATCCCCTCCTCCCCACATTTAGATATCTGGGTCTTTGTTTGGTTTTTTTTTAATCAAAGGGAGATAGATATAAAATTTCAGTGAGGACACTCCCCCCTCCCCCTTCCCTTCTCCCTCCTCCCCTGCGACCAACCATTCCGTGTTCCCTCTCCCTCCCTCTGCTCACCACAGCGCGCTCCACCAAGGGCTGATCCCGCAGCAGCAGGCAGCAGCAGCAGCAGCAGGCAGCAGGCAGTGAGATCATCCCCCTCCCCGCCCCAAACCCATTCCCTCTCCCTCTCTGCTCACCACAGCGCGCTCCACCAAGGGCTGCTCCCGCAGCAGCAGCAGTAGGCAGAGCTCGAAACTCCTCTTTGACGCCAGCTTTGCCAGCCGGTGCTGCTTATTCAGATGCGCCGCTAGCTGTGGGAAGGGGGTATGGAAGAGGAGGGGTGGGGACGGAGAGTGGTTTCAGGAGGCGGTGCTTGCTGAGGGGAGACTGGGCGTGGTTGGCAGGCAGAGCTCGGCGCTCCTCTTTGATGCCAGCTTTGCCAGCCGGTGCTGCTTGTTCAGATGGGCAGCGAGCTGTGGGGTGGGGAAGGGAGGGAGGGGAGGGATGGGGGAATGGGGAAGGAGAGACGTCTCAGAAGCTGCTGGTTGCTTAGACAAACCGTTAGCTGGGGGGGAGGGATGGAAGAAGAAAGATGGAGAGACAAGTCAAGTCAGACGGTGCTGCATGCGCAGGTGCATGTCGAGCAGGGGAGGATGGAATGGGGGTTAAGGATGATCTGCCTCTCGAGAGTAGCTCTGTGCATGTGAATGCCTTGCACCAGTGGTGCCGGCCTGTGGCATCAGGGGGGAAAAGCTGAGAGAGAGGCCGGAAGGGCTTGCGCTGCTTCCTTTTTTAAAATTTGGTTGGCTTTCTGTTTCTGTTTTTGTTTTTGTTTTTTTGTTTCTGTTGTTTGTTTCTATTTGTTTTTGTTTCTGTTGTTTGTTTCTGTTTTATGGTTCTGCTTTTTGTTTCTGTTTTTATTGAGTTTCTTGTTTCTGTTTTGTGTTTTTGTTTTAAAGGTGGGAAGACACCCCATGCCCATGAGCCACCTTACCTTGTCCTAGACATGAGCAAATTTCCGAACACCTGTTTGGTTTGTCCGAACATGTTCGTGACCAAACCGAACCGAACATGTTTTTTGGCAAAAAAATGTTAGGCCGAACATGTTCGATGTTCGGCCGAACATGTTCGATGTTCGGAAAAGGGGGGTGGGGGGGGTTGAAGCGGCGGGGGAGGAGCTGGCCCATTAAAAACACACTCTCGAACCTCGAACATGTTCGGATTCGCCCCGAACATGCAGATGTTCGCCTCGCCCCCAATCACAAACCTCGAACACCCTGAATCCCCCAAAAGTGTTCGGGCGGTTCGCCCCCTTCACATGTTCGTGCAGGGCGAAACGAACATGTTTGGCATTCGTCCGTTGCTCATGTCCACCTTGTCCCAGTCCCGTCCTTATCTCTGGAGCCTCTCCTCGACCTAATCGAACCAGGCATGAGCAACTGGCCCGGCCCGACCCGACCCGACCGACTTTGCCGGGCCACCCGGGTTCCCGGGTCGGGTCGGGTCGGGCCGGACTCGGGCCAAACTGCTGGAGGTTTTGACCCGACCCGGGTCTACACACTTGGGTCGGCATTGACCCGGCCCCGGGTAGGGTCGGGATGGGCCAGGCTGACCCACCCCTTTAGAGGGGGCAGGGGTGTTTATCATATTTGATGCACGGGTGGCGCTAAACGGGCCTATTAACGCTCGAGGCCCTAAGACGTGGCTTGCTTGCAGAAAAGTGATTTCGCACGAAGGAAACGCAAATTGAAATACTAGACTATCCAGCAGCGCGAACAACCTAATGTGCAGGCAAACTACGTTAATCTAGCTAGAATTTACAGCCTCTGTGATTTCGTGGCCTGTAAACTAAGTAGTTAGGTATTTTAGGTGACATTAGCGCTGATCTAAGTCATATCGGTTGTTGTGTGGTGAAGTGATGTCGAGGGGGAGAAAATTCCCTCAACATTATTTTGCGCTAGGGTTTCACCCCCACTCTGTAAAAATCGGGTCGCGCGCCTGACTCGACCCGATTTCGACGTTTTTGACCCGAAATCGAGCGACTCGGCCCGAGTTCCATGCTCGGGTAGGGTTTTTGCCGAGGTCGGGTCGGGTCGGCCCGCACGGCGCAGGCCCATGGAAATCCTGACCCGACCCGGCCAAAACCACGGGTCGGGTCAGGCCGGCCCGACTTGAGCGGGCTCCATGCTCAAGCCTACATGCTTGTGTTCTACCTTGCCTGGCTGGCAGCCCTGTCCTTGCTCCACTTCATGCACCTTGCTTGCGGCAGCCTTGCCACTAGGTGCTGTCCCAAATGTGACTCAGCCTCTATCTTCCTCTTCATGCTGGGCACCGATCTATTCAAATCGAGCTCTTTCCCATCAAATCCTGCTTGCTCACGAGCATGCCTTGTCTCCCGACTTGGGTTGCCGATCTTGCGCCCAGTCATGTTTCGTTGTTGCCGAGGCCATTGCCGAAGCGCCGTTTGCCTTTCGCTGCGCATTGCGTTTATCCTCTCAAACCATGACTTACAATCGCGACGCATTCCTGGATGCCTTTCTTTGGCTCCCGTATCCCTCTTACCTCGACTCGTTCAAGGGTCTCGGCTTTGATCTATACTACGCCTATCGTTTACTCATTACTCACCCTTCGCCAACATGGCGTCTGTGCACAGCCCCGATTACATTATAACGGAAGAGCAACGGCCTCTAGGATAGGATAACCTGAACAAATTCGACGAAGACTTCCTCGTCGATGACCTTCCTGACGGTTCTCTGCCGACTCTCCCTGACGACGCTCAGCCAGTCCTCCCTGGCGAGCCAGCTGCCAAGAAGGGCTGTGTGGTGAAGGGCAAGCTTTGGCCGCCTCCGCGATCACTGGTCACATGGCGGTCCCTACGGCGCCGTCATCTGCTCCTCACGCGAGCTCCTCGGGAAGCTCTGCTGCCACGGCCCCTACGAGGAGTAGGTGTGTCTGGTGTAGGACATAGAGACCGTGGCAGCGGAGCTTCCCGAGGAGCTCGCGTGAGGAGCAGATGACGGCGTCGCCGTGTGACCAGTGATCGCGGAGGCGGCCGAAGCTTGCCCTTCAACGCACAACTTCTTGGCAGCTGGCCTGCCAGGGAAGACTGGCTGAGCGTCGTCAGGGAGAGTCGGCAGAGCACCGTCAGGGAGGTCATCGACGAGGAAGTCTTTGTCGAATTCGTACAGATTATCCTCCCTTCCCGACCGCTGCTCCTCCGTCATAACTTGATCGAAGTTGTGCACAGATGCCATGTTGGCGAAGGGTGAGGACGGAGTAAACGATGGGCATAGTTTATACCAAAGCCGAGACCCTTGGACGAGTCGATGTAAGAGGCATACGGGAGCCAAAGAAAGGCATTCAGATACGCGCCGCGATCGTAAGCCAGGGTTTGAGAAGAAAAATAGAATGCGCAGCGAGAGACAAACGACGCTTCAACAATGGCCTCGGCAACCAACGAAACATGACTGTGCGCCTGATCGGCAACCAAGTCAGGAAACGAAGCATGCTCGTGAGCAACCAGGGTTGGATGGGAGAGAGATCGATCTGGATAAATCGGAGTTCAGCATGAAGAGGAGGACAGAGGCTGAGTCACATTTGGGACATCACCTAATGGAAAACCCGCCGCAAGCAAGGTGCATGAAGGGGAGCAAGGACGGGGCTGCCAGCTAGGCAAGATAGAACCCACCAAGCATGAAACACCCTTCAACATGCCATGCCCATGCTGCATGACTCTTTCTCAACCCCCACTTTTCTCCTTCCATCCCTCTCCTCCCCCCCCTCTATCCCCACTTGCTGACCTCCGCCATTATCATCACATGTCATCTTGCCTTCCACATGCCACGAGCCTCACCTTGTCCCAATCCATGCCTCGTGACCCTCTCTCCACCGCCTCCTCCTCCTCTCCCACTTCTTTCCGTTGCTCAGCTCTGTCAGGCCTCTCCTCCACTGGATCCCTCCCCCCAACCATTTCCTCCCCCACCCCCTCCTCCTCCCTCACTCCCTCCCCTCCCCACACTTTAGCTGCAGCGCCCCACGCCTTTCTCCTTCCCCTTCCTCCTCCACCCGACCGCCCTCCCCTCCCTGCTCTCCCCTCCTCTGCTCCGCCCTGCCCCCTCCCTCCAACCCCATCTGCCTCTTCAACCGTCCCCCCCTTCCCATCCACCCCCTCGGCAGTGCCTTTCCCTCCCTGCTTCCCGCCCGCCTCCCCTCTATCCCGCTTCTCTTGCTGCAGCGCTGCCAGCAGCTGCCGGTGCACGAGCAGGTCAGCATAGCGGCGAATGGGCGAGGTGAAGTGGGAGTAGAGGCTGGGGGGAGGACGGGCGGGAGAGGGAAGCATGAAGGAGTGCTGAATCAACCCAGAGCAGCTAAAGCTGTTGATGCATGAGCAGGTCAGCATAGCCACGGATGGGGGAGGTGAAGTGCGAGTAGAGGTTGGAGGAGAGGGAAGAGGGAAGCAGGAAGAAGAGCAGCTGTCAGTGCACCAGCAGGTCAGCATATCGGTGGATGGGCGACGTGAAGTGACAGTAGAGGCTGGAGGGAGGGAGGGATGCCCCGATGCCGTCCGCTGCTATTGTAACAAGGTGTCGACACTAAAGGGGCGGCTGCACTCACTGCCAGATACTTTTGAGCCGACTCTAAAGTCACCTCGGAATGAGATATTTATGAACATAAGAGTAAGCAAACATGCCACTCACTCCACTGCAAGGCCGTAGTGATAAGCCCCAATGCCATCCGCTGTTGCCGCTGATGCTGGTAGGTACTCCGCCTGATGTGCATGTGCATGTGCATGGCAAGTGCATGGCATGTGGTGGATGGCAAGTGGATGGCAAGTGGATGGCAAGTGGATGGCATGTGGATGGCAAGTGGATGGCATGTGGATGGCATGTGGATGGCAAGTGGATGGCATGTGGATGGCAAGTGGATGGCAAATGGATGGCAAGTGGATGGCAAGTGGATGGCATGTGGATGGCATGTGGATCGCAAGTGGATGGCATGTGGATGGCATGTGGGTCGCATGTGGATGGCAAGTGGATGGCATGTGGATGCATGCAGGAACATGAAGATGGTCACATGCAAATGCAGGGAGAGTGAGAAACACACATAAAGTCAAATCCAAGTGTGTGCTGGGCATGTTGGATCACGTGCGCCAAAATAAGAGGGAAGAGTGCAGTGTTGTGGGAGTTGCAAGTGTGCATCAATGAAGGGAAAAAGACGGTTGCATGCGCATGCAAGCGTGCATGATTGGAGGGAAAATGGGAGTGGAGTGAACTCGCAGCCACCCACATGCTGTAGGAGTCGGAAGTTTGCAAGATGCAAGCATGCGCAGGGCAAATCCCAATGTGTGCAGGGCATGTGGGATAGCGTGCGCTAAGATTGGAGGGATGAGTGGAGTGATCTCGCAGCCTCTCACATGTTGTAGGAGCTGAGAGTTTGCAACATGCAAGCACACACACATGAATGAAGGCGTGTGTGCGCATGCGCATGCCTTGTCTCCCATTCCCACGGTGCCGCCACATCTCACTCACTGCATCTCCTCTTTTCCTCTCACCTTTCCATGTCTCATCTGCGTGTCTCACCTCTGAGAGTGCACGCGTGCTGAGTGCCTTGAGCCCATACTGCACAGCAACCAGACGAAATGATGACGCGGGCGGACGAGACAAGCACATACGCGGGAGACATGTGCGAAAGGGGTGAAACATATGTACGGCATGGCAGCAGGGGAACACAGCGGGAGAATGAACATCAACTTAGGATTTTTGTTTGTTTTTTTTTCAAGAGTGCGGACACTTCCAAGAGGGAGCGCCGAAAGAGCATCCAAGGTAGTGGCCAGCGGAAAGGGAGTTAGAGAAGGAGTTTCATGAGTCGACTCAAAACTGTGGGTTTGGCAATGAGCTCACGTCCAGGACGGGGTCTCCCAGGTGCTTCACTGCTGCCAGCGATGCTGCTAGCGCCTGTTACGGGGAAGGTGGGGAGTCACGGTGGGAGAGGGAAAGAAGGGGAAGGAAGGGAGTGGCATGTATAAGGTGGATGTGAGAGAAGGAGAGGAAGCTCACATCCAGGACGGGGTCTCCCAGGTGCTTCAGAAGGAGAGGAAGCTCCCAGCGATGCTGCTAGCACCTGTTGGGATGGTGGTGGGGAGTGATGAGTAGGGTTTATTGCCCAGAAGAAGCGAGGGCAGGGGCGGGGAGGAGAGGGGAGGGTAGGGGAGGGGAGGGGAGGGTAGGGGAGGGGAGGGGAGGGTAGGGGGGAGAGGGGGGGGGAGAGGAGAGGAGGAGAGGAGAGGAGAGGAGAGGAGAGGAGAGGAGAGGAGAGGAGAGAGGAGAGGAGAGGAGAGGAGAGGAGGGAAGACAGGGGGGAGAGAAATGGGGAGTAGAGTAGTGAAGGGAAGGGGAGGCACGCACCAAAGAGGCATGCATAGAATGATGAAGAAAACATTACAAACGACTATGATTGCTTGCATGACTCCTTGAAAGAAACGATAGTGGACTGTTGTATGAAACGGTGCAAGGTTCAAGATTAAAGCCGTTCCATGCGCCCTGGATGAATGCTGACCTTGTTTGTCGACGTTTCAAGCGCGATGCCTCGCACCGCACAGCACTGAGAGGAGGGCACACAGAGACAGGAGGGCACACAGAGACAGGAGGGCACACAGAGACAGGAGGGCACACAGAAACAGGAGGGCACACAGAGACAGGAGGGCACACAGAGACAGGAGGGCACACAGACAGGAGGGCACACAGAGACAGGAGGGCACACAGAGACAGGAGGGCACACAGAGACAGGAGGGCACACAGAGACAGGAGGGCACACAGAGACAGGAGGGCACACAGAGACAGGAGGGCACACAGAGACAGGAGGGCACACAGAGACAGGAATACAAGAGGCACACGACAGACAGGGCATTGATGCACAAAAATCAAATTTGAAAATTCTCACAAGTGACTCCCAAACAGGGCACTGACACACAGGAAACCACCGAAAGTTTGCAAAAGCTTATATAGAATCGAAGGGTGCAAAGTCTGATGCTTGTTAGCAGGTGATCTGCATGCCATGCTGCCTGCCAGCACGCCATATCATCCGCATACATGAAACAGGCTCGCAAACCTTGTTCACCCCACCAGCACCCACATGCATGAGATGGCGGAAGCCGTTTGGGCGAGGAGGAGCATGGCGCCGCAGGAAGGCGGTTGCTAGGAAGGCCCTGGCTCCAACAAACCATGATGGGGGTGGGCGGGGACGGGAGAGACGAAGGAGTGAACGTGCACCCTAGTATGGGACGAATCACACGACATTGCAGGTAGCATGGAACGCAATGCACGACATAGTGTTGCGAGAGTATAAAACAGCGACAGCGGGATTGCTGCAGACAGCTGTCGTGTGCATGAGCATCAAGTCATGGTGTGTGTGTGTGTGTGTGTGTGTGTGCGCACGCGTAATGGGGTTCTCACCTTGTGAGCTTGCGGGCGACGGCAGCATTGGCCAGCACCATGAGCTCCGCCACCACCGCGTTCATCTGATGGTGGTGGGCAGGGGGGAGTGGAGAAGGAAGAGGGGCAATGAGGAAGGAGAGTCGCATGGAAGTGAGACACAGCCGCATTGGCGAGCATCATGAGCTCCGCCACCACTGCGTTCATCTGAAGGTTGGTACGGGGGGGGGGGGGGGAGCAAAGGGTGTGCTGTCTCTTGGGAAAGGGGGAATGAAGCAGAGGAAGGTTGCACGAAAGTGGAGGAAGAGGGTTGGGCGACGGCAGCATTGGCGAGCACGATGAACTCTGCCACCACTGCGCTTATCTGAAGGCAGCATGGCAGGTGAAAGGGGAGGCGCGGTTTTCAGGGATGGCGAAAGGGGTGTGTGCGCCGTAAAAAGATTGGAAGGGAGGGAGTGGGGCAAGCAAGGCACTGGCAGGCCGAGCATGCAGCGTGAGCATGGTTGCCCTTTCACCACGGAGCCATTCGCACTCACCAGTTGAAATCAGCTGGTTTCGATCCGCTGCAAGCCTTTTAAGAGATTAGGAACGATCTAAAAAACTAAGTCTATCAGTACTAATCTGGAAAAGAGGTAAGTCGTAAGAAAAGTCTTTTAGTCAGAACGCCAGACACAATGGGCCCGGATGTTCGCGTGCGAACGCGTTTCGGCCAACTAAGGCCTTCATCAGCGTGAGCATGGTTGCCCTTTCACCACGAGCCATTCACACTTGTTAGAATACCATCCTCACTTGTAACCTGCATCTATCCTATAAGCTTCGGCTAGAGGTAGACACCCAAATATAGTTTGGGTGTAGAACTAGGGCTAACCCTAGTTGGGTGTTGGAAATCAACACTTGGCCCAATTATTTGGCCCCCAAGGTTGGGTTGGGAATGATTGGCCCCCCAATAATGTTGAACCACCTTTGGTCAACATTATTGGTCCCCCCAATAATTCCTCAACCCAACTTATTGGTGGGGGCCAATAATGTTGGCTAGGTTCCCAACCAAACCATCCCTCCTAGCACAACTACGTATACCCCCTCTATTCCTAATATCATCAATGGTTCTTCCTCACGTTTTCTCACATGGTAATCAGAGCGAACACGGCTCACACCTTCTTCGATCCTAAGAACCACACCTCCGCGTGCCTTAACACGCCCCCCTCCCTCACGCGACAACTAGGTCGCTCTTAGCGCCAAGTGCGCTCCTACGCCGTCACGGCCCCCTTCCCCGCGCTAAATTTCAGCACCCTTCCCGCCTTCCTAAGGTCAATCCCGCCACTTACGGCCCTCCCCTCTCTCCCGCGAGCACGCTAACCGTCGGAACACCTACCGCGGCCGACGAAACCCTAATCAGGGGCGACCGCCGCGAACGCGACGAACGCGGGCGCTAGCCGCGGATTAGGGTTTCACGGGGCGACCGCCGCGGACGCGACGAACGTGGGCGACCGCCGCGGACGCGACGAACGCGGGCGACCGCCGCGGACGCGACGAACGCGGGCGACCGCCGCGGACGCGACGAACGCGGGCGACCGCCGCGGACGCGACAGCGGAGGCGACCGCCGCGGACGCGACCAGCGGAGGCGACCGCCGCGGACGCGACCAGCGGAGGCGACCGCCGCGGACGCGACCAGCGGAGGCGACCGCCGCGGACGCGACCAGCGGAGGCGACCGCCGCGGGCGACGCGACCAAGTGCAGCCACGGGCAACGCGACCTGACACAACCGTGGGCGACGCGATCAGGCGTAACCGTGAGCAACGCGACTAGGCGCAGCCCTTCGACCGCACCACCCCTCCAGGTGGTGTCGTCACCCTGATTGACCGCATCCGCCCTCCAGCCGGTGTCGTCACCCCCTCCCCCCCCCCCCCCCCCCCCCCCCCCCCCTCCTCCCCCTCATGGCGGACGACTCAACTCCCATTGAGCTCGGAGCTATCGACAAGCTCGAGCTCCTTCATGATACCACCGCTGTGAACTGGGCGTCGTTCGAGGATACACTCCACACCCACCTTGGCTCTGTCATCATCCAAGACTACTGTCTCCTTGACGTAGTCCTTGAAACTTCTAACGGCCTTCCACCCGTTCTCCCTCCTCCTCTTGATCCCCCTCCCCCCGATGCCCCTCCACTTCCAGAACCTATTGACCCCCCCCCCCAATCCTCCAGTTCATGATGATCACCCGGATCGCTGGGCGGCCAACTTGAACAACTACAATAAGCTACGTGACACCTACACCATCCAGCGTGAAGCATACCGTGTTGCTGAGGAAGCAAATACTGTCGCCGCTGCACGCATCCTCCAGTACGAAAAGGATGAGAGGGATCATGCTGAGGAGCTACGCAAACTTCACAAGGATGTCGCAGCATGGCGTGTTGCGGATCGCCGCGCACTCGCCATCATCTTCTCCTGCATCCCCTCACACCTCAAACGTGACCTCCGTCCCACCTCCTCCTCTGGCCTCTGGAAAACCCTCTCTACTCAGTTCGACCGACAGGATCTTCGCTCCCTCCTTGCCCTTTTTCGCAAGTTCCAAGACACCACCCTTGACTCCTCTCCCACTGCTGCTGCCTACACCCGCCGCCTCATTGATACTGCACAACGCCTCAACGATCGAGGCATTGTCATCTCTGAGTCTCTCCTCACTGCACGCATTCTCGACTGCCTCCCCCCCACATATGACACATACCGCATCACCTTCACCTCCCGCTACCGCCACCCTCCTGTGACTGACACCATCGAGTGGCTTCTTGACATCGAAGCCGACCTCCAACGTGACTCCACCGCTATCAATACAGTTCAGACTCGCAAAGCCCCCACAGGCAACCAGAACAGCGGCGGAGGTGGCGGCCACGGCGGTACTAGCAGTGGTGGAGGTGGACGTGGTGGTGGGCGAGGAGGAGGACGTGGTGGTGGCCGAGGTGGTGGCCGTGGTGGGCGTGGCGGACACCCCTCACCTTCGGGCACCCTCCCCCCGTGTCAGTACATCATTCGCTATGGCTCCAACAAAGGTCAGCCATGCTCACAGACCACTCATACCATTGACACGTGCTTCAAAGCCCTCACTGATGAATGGTTTGACCGTGGCAATGTTGGCACCCCACCTCGCTGGAACACTGTCTTCCCATGTCCCTCTCCCCATGACATCCGCACTCTCCCCGCCTATCAACCCTCCACCCCCAACCTCCACAATGTCCTCACTCAACATCTCCCATCTCACACCCTCCAGCAAGTCCAGCATCTTCTCCCCTCATCCACCCCCACTCCCACTCCTCCTCCACCCACACCTCCGCCTCAAGTCCCTCCCCCTCACTACCCTCCACCCTATGCTGGCTGGCCTTACCCTCCTTACCCACCTCCTGGATATGGTCATGGACCTATTGGACCTGCTGCTAATCTTGCTGAACAGCCCTCCTCCTCCTCCAACCCTCCTGGCTTTACTCCGTTCCCCTCTGCTGGATTCATAGGACATGTTAGCACTGCTCCTGCTGATTCTCTGTATGCCCATGCTATTAACGAGTCCCTCTTCCAGTACTCCGCCTTTTCCTCCTCCTCTTCATGCCTTGAGTTTATCCTTGACAGTGGAGCGACACACACTGTTCTGCGCGATGCAGGCACACTGGTACCCCTCCCCACTCCCTCCACTATCCAGCTAGAACATAGAGAACCTAGAAATGAGGGGACGAGTATGGGAAGGGTGTGGAGGGGAGGGGGGGGGGGCGGGGGGGAGTGAAAGGGGGGTGTCGAGGAGAAGGACAGGGAAGGGGAGAGGGGGAAGAATGGGAGTGGCTGAGAGGAGAGGGGTTGTAGACAGGGGAGCTAAATGGGTCGCTTGGGAAAAGAAAGGAGGTGGGTTGGGTGGGGAATGGGGGGGAGGTTGGAAGACGAGGAGCGAGAAAAGGGGTAAGATCATGCATACGGAGCTGACTCCAGCTTCACCATCACAAGTCGACACACCTCCACCCTCCCCTGTCCCATCTTCCCCTCAGGTACAGTCACAGGTCTATACATCCCCTCCCTACGCAACAATCTGGTAGCACTGTGTGACCTCACCAAGTTCGATATCACCGCCCTCTTCCCCGGTCATGCACGCCACTGCGACCTCTTTCACACCACCACTGGTCGCTTCATCTGTCGCATTCCCCTCTGCCCTCGCACAAACCTGTACACGTACCGCACCCCTCGCACCTCCATTCACCACCTCATCGCCCCCACCTCACCCCTTCCCCTCCCCTCACCTCCCCTCCCCCTTCCCTCCCCTCCTCCCATCCCCTCCCCCATCCCCTCCCCCCCCCCTCCCCTCCCCTCCTCCCATCCCCTCCCCCATCCCCTCCCCCCCCTCTCCCCTCCCCTCCTCCCCCCCCCCCCCCCCCCTCCCCCACCTCCTCCTGTCACTGTCGTGACCTCACCCACCCTGCAGTTCTCCTTCACCATAGGTTGGGTCATCCCAACTTTGCCACCCTCCGTCAAACTGTCTCCACCCAACTCCTCGACGGACTCCCCCTCACCCTTCCCCCTCTCCCCCCATCACCCTCCCCTCCTTGCTCAGTATGCGTTGAAAGCAAACTGAAACAGGCCCCCCATAAGAGTCATCCCTCCTTTTCTCCCCAGCCTCTTGATCTCGTCCACATGGACCTCTGGGGCCCCAACCCTTCCCCCACCAGGCAAGGTCATAAATACCTGCTCATCCTGGTGGATGACCACAGCCGCTACTCCTCCGTCTCCCTCCTTCCCCGGCTGCTATTATTGCTTGGGCTGAACAAGCACGCACCCATTTCAAACGCCCTGTCTCCCGCTTCCACTCTGATGACGGTGGTGAGTTCCTTAACAACATGCTCTCATCCTACTGCACCACTCGTGGCATTATTCACACCTACACCCTACCTCATTCCCCTCAGCAGAATGGCGTGGCGGAGAGTAGGGTCCGTGAGGTCACCAAGACTGCTCGGTGCCTCATGGTCCATGCCTCCTGCCCGCCCTCTCTCTGGGGCTATGCCTGCGGAGATAACTAGTGCAACGGGAGCTAGACTGCGGGCTAGGCACGGGGCAAGAGTGATCGTAGCGTTCGTTCGTTCCTTAGTCGTTTCCAAGTGCTAACACTGCTTGCTGGTTCACGGGGAAAATCGGCAAGAGTTTC